CATTTTGAATATTTTTACAAAAGTTCACTGAGCTGGTAAAAATATTTGTAAGAAGTCGGTAAATTATTTTCGAAAAGTGAGGCAAACTAAGTTCAAACATTAGGGCAAAATAATTTTTTTTCTCGGCAATTTAACTTCACACAATAGGCCAATTGTTTTCAAAAAAGTGGGCGGACTTTTCAAAGATTCGGTAAATTGAGAGTGGAAGCACGGTATCATTAAATTTCGCTTTTGAAGGCAATTTTTAAAAACAAACAAACTATTTTCGTATTTTGTATTTGTATTTTATTGTTTTGATTGTACGACAAAAAAAATGTAGAAATAGTGTTGAAAAGTATTTCATTTTTAATTTTGTGGTTTTGTTTACGTTTTCTTGGGAAAAAATGGTCTTGAAATTTTGATGCTTATAGGTGGTTGTGTACAGGTTTAGAATGCTGGAACCATTCTAGCACCGTTTCTAAGTTTTTGTATACTATTTCGGTTATGAATTAAGGTGCTTCTTAAGCAAACGGGGCCGACAAAAGTTTGTCGAGACATTTACCAAAAATGGTTAGCAGTTGCCTTATTTAGCAAGAGCAGCCGCAACTTTTTGTGGAGGGAAAATGCCACCTACAAGACCTACCCGGTTACACTATTTACAAATAAAGTCTAGTTTTCACATACTAAAGTTACAACGTAACGTCAGATTTTATACTTAATGATGTAAATTAATGTCAAGTTCTAAGTTCCATTTATATCTCTTTGTCTTTATTTTTTTGAACGAAGCTGAAACCATGACTAATTATAATCCTTACCAAAACTTTCAAATTAACAATGTTAGCAATAATTAATACCGTACAGCCATGGTTGACGCTGACAACAAAACTGACGCTGATAACCAAACTGTGGATACTATCTATAACCGTATTAGTAGTTTGAACATTGCTGACTTGCTTAACAATGAACAGCACCCAATGCAACCAACGCAAGATGATATCTCTCAAGAAGAAGAGTTAGATAGAACTGTTGTATCCAATAATATCAGTTGATCTCAAAACCAACACCAAGCAGCACCACGACGCAGTCGCCACTCGACAGAAACGTAGGAGCAAAGACTTATAGAATACTTTAAGTGTGCTCTTGGAGTAACTAATATGGGTAGTCATCAAAACAGTAGAAGAAGGATGCAAACAGACAATCGTATTTGCCAAGCTGTAACTAGATTATTTAATGAGCAATCGATGCTTACCAGATCAAGAGAAGCTTTGGAAAGAAAATTCAGAAATATGAAGACAAAGTTCAGGGACATATGCAACGAGTTCAAAGCCACAGGAAGAAATAGGGTTGCTCCAAATACGGCGTACAAGCACTACAAGTTTTGTGTGATTGTCTGGATGGCGATCGACAAGCAATGTCATTGGGAACGTTTTCATTTGGCTCGCCAACCTTAACAGTCAACAATAGTGATGGAAATAATGACGAAGAGCCAGAACTATCCGGACCAGTTGCTGAGGAAGAAGGAGAATTTTTAATTAAATCTGTACTGGATTCAGTTGGTCGCCCCACTCGACGAAACTATGAAGCAATGATAAAAATGATGGTGTGGAACCCACCCAAAACACGAGAAGACGTACCAACAATGCTAATGTGAGAAATAACCAAGTTATTAAGACTATTCGGCAGATTAACAAAGACAATATGAGCCAAAGCAACACATATTTTGAGGCGTCCAATAATCGTGCGGAAAGGCTTGAAAGAAACGCACAAGAAGCTTTGGAGAATGTCCGTCGCTCAAATCAAATCACGAGTTCTATCTGAGATAGCTTGTGTCATGATCGTGTCACGTAGATGCATTAATTTTGGTAATTCTTTGTCAGCACCTTGTCATCTACGTGTCAGCTATCAATCATCGAATATGTGTCATAAATAAGTAATGACTTACTAAACTTTGTCATTGCTTATTTTTATGCTAAATATCTATACAATCCTTTACTATAAATATAGCCTAACTTTCCCTCTTCTTTCTTCCCCTTCATCAGATATATTATCTAACAACCCTCTCTCCTCTTTTCTTCTTTCTCTCTCTCTCTCTCTCTCTTATAATAAAAATAATAATTATCTTTTATTTCTTTGTTCTGTAAGCAAGTATTCTTCTGTCTGTCCTGTCTGCCTGTCCGCTCCTGACAGCTTGGAAAGAAGTAGTAACAGACTTGCTAGTACGCTAGATCTTATGAACCAGCATTCTAAAAATAGAAATAGAAATTAATATTTTCGGTTTAATAAAAAAAAATAAAAGAAATCACAGGAATACGTTTTGGCATCCCTAAGCAGTTCCTCTCTCTTTTTCTATCCACGTCCCTGATCTTCACTCTCATCAGCTACTGACCCCATTTCCTCAAAATTGCGCGCACTTAAGTTTGTTGAAAGCTCCAAAACAATATCATTTTGGGGATTTACCACAGTACCTCGAAAGCAAAAGACATTATTGTTAAATGAGTCCTCGCCATACATATTCTTGTATATGTTATGCAAAATACAAGAACCGTTTACAACTTTTACAAACTTCACAGGATCTTTAGCGTAAACATACTCGACGAGAAATCTCCATCAATTCACCAAGTGTGCAAAGCATCTCTCGATTCCAGTTCCCATTGTTGATTACAGGGTGTTGTACTTCGACCAATGCCTCTGAACACCGGAATTTCCCTGTCGTAATCTCATTCTTTATAAGGAATGCAAAAATTCTTTTCCAACATAAATCCAGAATTTGTATACAAAAATTATTAGTTCAAATCATACAAATATCTCATGTATATCAACTACCTCCGAGAATATAACTGTCATTCTTAAAATAAACATCGGGGTTACGACAGTAACTTCTCAGCTAACTTCGATTGGAAATTCTCGCATCGTGTGTGTGCCATAATAAAATATTTTTAAATTTCATGTTATCGATCAAACATACTTAATGTGATATTTACCAGTTTCACCAGCGTAAACATATGCAAAACATTGAGAGCTATCACAAACGGCCAGCAAGTGGATGGATATGTTTGCCTTTTTATCTCTGTTGCTCTCCGGGTTCTGACAGGGCTTATGGACTTGAATACTCTTTCCGTCAACAACATTAATACAACCAGGCAGATTTTTGTTTTCGGGTGCTGTTAGCTCAGGACCATTGGGATATTCAAATCTCGTAGCAGTTTCCTCCACTTGCTCCTGGGTTTTGGGCCAAACTATCATTGTATTTGTGAGGCCCGTCATTGCAGCAAAAAACCTATTCGTAAAGTTGTTATAGGACCCTTGACCAATACCAAAAACGCTTTTCTGCATCATGTATCACATATGGCAGTTTCCAAATCTCCAGAGAATACAAACTACTTGCTGTTTTACTAATGTAACGTTATGAGCAAGTAACGTGAATGCTGGATGCTCAGACAATCATTGAAATAAATAAGAAAACGTTCTACGAGACATACGATAATGATATTTCAACGTCATTGATGGTCGCGAGCTATCAACTTCGTCATCAATGAGGTTTGGGTGCCAGACGTCCCAGAACCCTTTGTTGGTTTTCAAACTAGGCTATCTATCTCTGCATTGCAAATAATATGGGTTTGTCATGTTGCGAAAGAGTCTCATATGGTCGTCTATAATAATATATTGGTCCAATGTATGAAATGTCGCGTTATATTCAATTGCGCAACTGCGAATGACTTGAGTCTGGTAGTTGATATTTCGTGTTTGCTCAGCCATGGCCGCTGCAGCATGTACTTCCATAGCTGTTATTTCCCTTAAAAGTTGAATTGCTAAAAGAGCTAATTCGTCATCGGAAAAGTCTTTGAGATTCAAGTTGTTGTTATTCATATTTAGTATAAAAATGTGTTAAAGCAAAGGAAAAAAGAAGCAATAGTATTATCTCAAAACGCATGAATTATGGTTCGTTTAGCATTTCGGATTGAAATGAATATTTCCTTAACCTAATTGGGTCAAAGTTGTTCGGATAAACTTTATTAAAGTTTTAAACTAAATAAGTTCTAGACGAACTTTTGTTGGCCCCGCTTGCTTGAGAAGCACCTAAATGTATCCAGAGGACCCTAAAGTGACCGATCCGAACTGATCCAAACAGATAACGAACCAAAATTTTTCTGAGGTATCGCACAACGACGGATAACGGACCGGAGTACCCTGGAGTCAACGGATTTGCACGGATAACGGACGGGAGTACGCAAAAGTATTGGGTTTTGACGGATAACGGACCAGAATTCCTAGATTGGTATGATTTAGACGAATAACGAACTGGAGTTACGAAAATATAGCCGCAGTAAAACTCTTATTCGATCGACTACACATGTTCTAAAAAATGGTTTGTTTGGCTGTTTATTTGTTTGAAACAGCCAAATCGTAGTCGGAAAAATATGACCTGACTTTCATACCATGTTTTGGCAAGGGCGAAAGCAGTAGAGTCTAAGTCTTGCAATTATAGACTAGCATACACAATAGCTGCGTGAAAATTTGTTTTGTTAGGATAATTATAGACTTTAACTTTGACCAGACAATTAACGCACAAAAATACTTTATTGAGTCGTCTATCGAAGCTGTTCGTACAGATTTAAAATATGATTTAGTTGGTAATTTTACCACAGAGATTTCGGTATTTGGTTTTAAGTTACTTCAATGGCTATTTTACTTCGTTTAAAACTTTTCTTCGTATTGTTAAAAATGTCGGAACTCAGTTAATAGTTAACGTAGAAATAGACGACTAAAGTCTCGTCTGGCTCCACCCTGGTGGTATATATCTATTTACTATAGGCTGTCCGGAAATGTATAAAGAGTAGTGGATTAAATCGGATATTACCAGATAGCAGACCGAAGTTTCAAAATCGACCACTTGTATAATTACTCCATGACCTTCCGAAACATATGTTACAAGCGAAACGTAACTAAATATACTATACAACCTGGTAGAACATACGATGTTATATTCAAGGCGTAGTCTACAATTATAGACAAATTAAAGAATGGTGGATTTTGTAAACTCTGACCCGCTATCTGTCGGCATCCGGTATTTTAGAGTAACCGGATTAAAGTCACCGAATGACCACAACCAAGTACTCAAATCTGGTATAAGGGGCTCTGGGATCTTGGCGAGAAGTAGCAACCATTGCTGAAATATACTCTTTGCGGATATAACCTAAGTTAAGTAAATCTAACGTGATAAAAAAAATGGTCGTTAATTTTGTTACGTGTAGGCCTTAATTCGTCAGTATTATCAAGACTGCATTACTGAAAAGGGCCTTCACGGCTGGGATTTCACAACCACTGTGATGAAGGGGATTAATCTCCCTATTTTTCAGTACATCCTTGAGCGGTTTAGACTGAAGGAGGCAGAAGCCTTTAATCCTGCTCGTCCTCTTCACAAGATGACCTTGACGAAAACAAAACTTGTCAAGACGAGAATCAGAAGAAACTTCGAGGGGTTGAAGTTTGCGGACCGCAAGAGACGCACTCACAGTGTAGAAGAACTTGGAGAGCTTGCACGTAAGAAGAATCAAGCTGCAAGACTGACTGCCGTAAGTACAATATTTAATTGACATTATTGTAAATCTAATTTTACCTATTTACAGAAATTCAAAAGAAGAAAGGACAACTTTTTGAAGTATGAGGCAGACATTATTCAAAAGTTTCATCCCAAAGAAAGTTGCAGGGCTTTTCTTGTAAAAGGCTACATGTCCGAGGATGAGGATGATCAAGTCAATGATCAAGGTCAAGCCCTTTCTTACACCAGCCTTCGTCCCAGTTGGAGATCCGATCAGGTAAAAATAAAAAGAATGAGTATTAAATAAAAAAAAAGCATAATGACCTAACGTACCTTTGGGTTATGATACAATAGCTGAACAAAATGTTTGATGAGTTGGATTCTCCTTCTGGGCAGAGAAATGTTGGAAGACCATTAGGGGGTGCCAAACATTAAAAAAATCATTTCCTTAATTTTTAAAAAACATTCCCGGGAATTTTTCCCCAGCCAAATTCCCTAAACTTTGCGGGAACGATTTTTTGTGCCCGAGATTTTGCGGGCAAGAAAAAGTATTCCCGAGAAATCTCGGGAAAGAATACTCATTTTCTATTCGTTGTTGAGAAGGAAATATGACGTGAAAATGTAACATTTTATTTATTTTATGATAATCGAAAAGCATCAAATCGCATCTGTGTTTGCATTATAAAGTTTTTCTAAGTTTTTAACTTACCTTTTTTCTCCTTAAATTTCTCTGAAACGTATAATCTAAAATGTCTGATCAAATAAACAGAAACACTGGTGGCGGTCCTTCCAACAACGATTCCGCAGATAAAGCCTTGATAGAACCAAAACTACACCTGGTCAAATTAAGGCTATGATTGGTTTCTTTGAGAGTAATCAAGACCTTTTTAAGATATATCTTGGTGGACAAAAGTCGTCCGCTCCTTCAGCTGGTAGTCAGATAAAAAAAAGAGAGATCATTGAGAGATTGTTTCAGCAACTTCTGGCAGATAAAGTAATTCCGTCTTCCTGGAATTTCAAATCGGTTGGAAAACGTTTTGAACGCCAACTCGCAAAGTATCGCGATGTAGAAAGAGATATGAACTCTACCGGTTTTGGCTTGACTACAGATGACATTAAACGTGGACTGACCTCCATCGAGATCAAGTGTGAACATTTGTGTGTTGGATTTTCTCGTTTGGCTTCTCTGCATGGTGTTAGACCAAACATAACTCCTTTCTGTGTGGCTTTCCATGGTGCCCCTGGTGGTACCGAGTACACATACTCCAACAGAGTAAGGCCATCATTAGCTGCAATTGAGGCACAAACTTTTGCAGTTTTTGGTGGTCAACAAGAGGCGATTGAAGAGGTCAGTCGATTGTTGGTTGGAAGTGATGCAGCTGAATCTTCAACAAGATCATCTGCTTCTCTTTCCTCTGGTGCTCCTTTGGCTGCTGGTGCTCCTTTGGCTGCTGGTGCTCCTTTGGCTGCTGGTGCTCCTTTGGTTGCTGGTGCTCCTTTGGCTGCTGGTGCTTCTCTTTCCTCTGGTGCTCCTTTGGCTGCTAGGTCTTTGTCTGTTGCACCTGTGTCTACTGAGCGTTCTTCCTCTTTCCGTTTTTCTTCTGTTGGGCCATTCTCAAACGAACCTCTCTCTTTCCCTCGTCCTGCTTTTGGTGAAGCTTCGTCTGGCCAGCCGTCATCTGTAGAAGTACCAGCTACCAATGTTGCTTCTTCTCCTCTGTTGGTTCCATCTAATACCCAGCCATCAAGTCGCACACCATTATTTGAATCATCATCAGAGAATAATTTGTTCGATTCCTTTTCTTTTGATGATGGTGGAGATTTTGATGATGCTGGGTCGTATCATGCTGTGGACCATGACAACGATGTCAACAGTGGTAGTGCTGCTCGTGCTGGTGGTGGTGTTGGTGCTGGTGTTTCTGGTGTTGCTGGTGGTGCTCGTGCTGGTGCTGGTGGTGGTCGTGCTGGTGCTGGTGCTGGTGCTGGTGCTGGTGCTGGTGCTGGTGCTGGTGGTGCTCGTGTTGCTGGTGTTCGTGGCGGTGCTGGTGCGGGTGCTGGTGTTGGTGGTCGTGGTCGTGCGTGGTCGTGCTCGTGGTCTTGCTCGTGGTCGTGGTCGTGGAGGTGTTAGTCGCGCTGGTACCGTTCAGCCTGAAATGCCAACGGCTGATCGCATCCGTGTTGATCCCGATCACGCCATGAGAAACAAGAGGATCAAAAGAGACTTTTCTTCTGAGTATCGCGAGGCTCAGTTGAGAAGGGACGAAGTATTGAGGGAAAATAGTCAGAGGGAGTTCGATTTGGGTATGTCCCAATTGCTTGTTACTTGTCTGACAACGAACGCCTTCAATACATCGTCATTTACGGAAATTACCAGACATCTGGCTGATTTTCGTAGATCTCTGAGGGATCCTGTCGATGATGATGATGTATATGATGATACAGAGTATCTTTACAATCTTGATAATGATGAAGATGAGCACGACGACGGTAATCCTTCAACAGATGTAGATTAATATTTTTTTCTTTTTAAATAAATTTTTTTTTTCCTCTTACAAATATATTTACATTCATTGTTCAGAAACCTTCACAGCAAGGACGCAATCCAATCCTTTCAACACAAATGCACATTATATCAACTCAGTTGGTTTATTCATTATCATATCCGAAATGTACTGCATAATCTGCTAAAACTACTTCAGCAACGGAATTCCTCCAAGTATTCAATATACGGCTGGAAACACTGTTGACGTTGTCAAATGACTCCAGCAACACCACGTCTAATCTCGACTGCCCGACGTCAACATCCTCATAAAAATCACCGTCAAAATTGTCATTTTCCAAGATCAAATAGTTGTGCAAAAGACCGCATACATGTACCAATTCATGTATTCTCATGATATCCTCCTCACAATTGATCTGAATCGGAATGTTCTTCAAGATTCTCCATTTTCCCTTTAATACACCAATGGTATTTTCAACAGCAACTCGGGCGGAAGAGTGAACCCTGTTGAAGTCTTCGCACTTCACCGAACTTACAACCTGGGGTCTTCTGTAAGGAGTAAGCACAAATGGATGAAGAGCATATCCGGAATCACCGAGAAGGTACTCATGGCTTGCAGCATCGCCACATGTGAAATACTTGGCTTCTCTATTAATCATGAAGCTAGCATGCTCTACACATGTGGCATCACACATCGATCCTGCTTGTCCTGATTGGAAACCCAAAATGATCTTTCGTTCATCACAAACAACCTGACAGTTCACAGAATAGAACCCCTTTCTATTGTAATAGGATTCGGGGCAGTCGGTAGGCTTTTGAGAAAGGCGAAAATGGGTGCCATCGATGTATCCAATACAATTACGAAAAAAGTGCTGCTTTTTGATGGCTTCAGCTGCTCTTTCTCTTTGTTCCTTGTTAGGCCAGCTCATCAAGTGTTTAAGGTTGTCGGTGATTGCCTTAAAACAGCGGTTGGTGTAGTCAGTGACAGAGCCTTTGCTGATTCCAAACAAAGTTGCAATCTGCTCAATGCTGTTACCAGTTCCATCGTGACTTAATCGTCTCAAGGTTACTGCAAGTTGAACGTGAACATCCCTTTGAGGAATGAAACTCTGGTTGTTGAAGACTGCGTGACCTTCAATCAAGCGAAGGAGCTTTAAGAACGAGTCCTTATTCATTCTACAAATCTTAACAAACTCTTCGTCATTCCACTCGAGGAAATACTCGCGATACTGGTCCAGTTTAGGAATGCCAGGTCCACTGTTGAGAACACGTTTCGTTTCTAATCCACTCAAGAGTTCGTGCATCTCTTCCGCTTCTTCTTCATTTTCAATGATAACATTGTGCTTAAGCAAAGACTTCATCTCGTTCAAAGTTTGTTGTCTAATAGATTGTTTGGGCATTTTAAAAGTTGAAAATAAAAGATAATATTTATGAAAAATGGTTTAAAGTGAAAAGGGGAAGCTAGAGCTGTATTTGGCTTATGACGAGTTTTCCCAGCCTAAAAAGATTCCCGGAACTTTGAAATAAAATTCCCGCGATTTTTGAAAAAATTTAATGTTTGGCACCCCCTATTGTTTCTTCCACTGAATCTTAGTCATTCTGTTCTTTTATCTTTTTTCTTCCCGTGTCAAGCAACCCGTTTTTCCCGATAAATAATTAATTAGTATCACCCGTCATAATTTATTGCGTACAGCATAATTCTCTTAAAGTTTTTGATGACTTAAAATAGTTATTTGTTTTGTTCTTTTTTTAATTAAAAAATAATTACACATTTTCTGATCATATGTCACAAACACTTTACAAACAGACACTATTTTTACCAATTGTAGTGGCCCATGTGAAACTGAATCACCTTTGTTTAAATTTATAATTTAGATCTGCTTGTGTTTCCTTAACTATTTAGTTAGTATAAATAGGTGTCATTTTCTCACTGGAGTGACAATATTTCGGATGTTTGTCTTTACCACCTCCTTTTATTAAACAAAAAAATGTTTGTATAGGTCTTCGTTTACACTCCCTTGTGACAGCAAGTATTGTTTTTGGTCAGCACTATCCTTCTGCCCATTATACAAAATGTTAATTCCTGCAAAAAAGCTTCCGTTTACATTACCATTATGCACCAACAACGTTCGAGATTAAACAAAAACTCAAGCGTACCCTAGAGCCATACGAAATTGAATTACCTTTCAAAATAAAAACATTTTTTATTGACCAAACATTTTGAAAAAAGATATTTAAATCATGTACAGTGTACAGCATGACACTATGCCTTATGCCACAAAATAAAAAAAGAATATACACAGGTACACCTTTTTTTTCGTTTTTTTCTGACAAGCATTCATTTTTGGTAATGATCTATGACATGGGCGACAATGAAAACTTCTCATTTAAAACCGAACGGCTCAATTTTAAAAATGTTAAAAATATGGCACTACTTAAAATTAAACCCAATTGTTAGCAATTTGTTTTCGTACAGCTATAGTTTGACACAAACATAAAATCATCATAGGTGAAATCAGACATACACTTTTTTTTTTTGGCTCATTCATGCCTATTGAGTCATTAGAGCAGTTACGTTTATGAGAATGACTAAACATATGCTGGTATTATTTCGCAAAAAACCACTGGTATGACCTGGTGGACAGAGCAATTATTTATCAATATGACCGTAAAATTGTCTTGCCAGATTTTCTTTTTTAAACCGTATTTTGTGGAAAAATATAATAAATAAGTATAAACTTTCCGTCATCACTATGCATTCCCCAAACTGGACCCATTCATGTCTTATAAAAACTCGCAGTTTACGCATTCAAGAACAGAAATCTTTTTCGACAGTTACTCTTCTACTAATAATTTTTAAAAAAAAATTTATTTTCTTCTAAACATAGAAGAGCGCTTTTCTTCCTTCTCCTTTTCTTTTTTCTCTTCTTCTTCTTCTATAAAACAATAATGTTAAATGAGTGAAATATTCTTAGACAAGATCTAAAACTAATCTACATACCTTCTTTTTCTGCCCTATCGAAGAGGGCCTTCAACGCTAATCTCTCCCTAGCCTTCTCGAAATGAGCTACGCGAGGCTTTGCCATGGGGCGTACGGGAGAGACAGTGATAGAAGGTCCCTCAACGACAGGGACAGCAGAGACAGAGGAGACAGCCGAAACAGAAACAGCAGAGGAAACAGCAGCGACAGCACCGAACGAGGCAAAGGAAGGGACCGAAGCAACAACAGGAAAAGAGGAAACGGAACCGACGGAAGCAACCGGAGCAACAGACAAGGAACTGACATCCGAAGAGCCGGACAAAGACAACTTTCTATCGCCCAAAGGACGAACAAAGCAAGCGCGAACGGTCGATGGAGGAGGAGGAGCGTCATTTCGTCGCTTACCTCGACTCTGTTGGTTCTCGCAAAGAGAAGAGGAAAAAGCAGGAGGACAAAGAGGGGCATCAGCAACGGTAGCTGCAACAGGAACAGCACCTACAGCAGACATCTCTGATTGACGACAACCGGAGCGAAGACGACGAGGGGTAACCACCGGACGGGGCAAAGCAACAACAGGAACCACGGGAGCCGCAACCAAACCAGCATTCTCCCCAGCGGAGCAAACACCACCAACCGGACCACCCTCAACAACAACGGAGGAGACAGCAACAGACTCCAAATTGACACCGCAAGGGGGCGCAGAAACACCACAGATCACTTCGTTCGCAGGGGCGGAAGAGGTACAAGGTCCCAAAGAGACAGGAGGACATCCCACAGGCACACCCAAAACGCCAGACTCCCCAGAAACAGGGACAGCCACGTCGTCGACATCCATGTCCGACACAGCAAGAGCCGACGTACCGGACATAGCCCCAGAAACAGCGAGAGGTGAAAAATCTTGACCAACGGCCAAAGGGGAGCACAAGGAAGAACTACAATCTCCACCAAAAGCAGGTGTAGCAACAGCACCAGTCGCAAGCAAAGCCTTGGTTATTGCTTCACAACCAAAGCCAAAGGTAACCCCAGAGGAAACTTCTTTGATGGGTTGCCGGATGGTAGGCAAGCTACCACCACTTACGCAGGCCAAACCCGCAACACGCGCAAAGTCCACGGAGTGCCACTGTCTATCACTTGTTTGGCACGTCACAGGGGCCGAACGAAGGAGGAAAGACTGCTTAGTACCCTCGGAGGTCACAGAGGGCAAAGCAAAAGGGGAGAGAAACACAGAAGAAAAGGCGACAGCTTCAGGAGAGGAAGCAACAGCAGGAGAGCAAGCAACAGCAGGAGAGGAAGCAGCGACAGGCGAGTCAAGAACAGAAGGAGAAGCAACAGCAGAAGAAGACGACACCACAGAAGAAGAAGAGGCCACCAACGAGTTTTTTTTTGCCTGGGAGACCGGTGTAATTCTGCCATTGCAGAGAACGAAAAGCTCCCCAATCTCCACTGGTTGTGGATTACCCAATGGTGGGCCACCACTACTAGGAAAGGCGCAGACCGAACCAAAGAAAGAAGCAAGTTTCTCCCAAAGGAAAACAAAGGCAAAGCTGGCGTGGAACCAGGCGAAGACAAAAAACAAGTGAGCACGGTGCGTAATGTCGCACATTAATCTATGCATTCTCAACATTAGCATCGTGTATATGAATTACTTGTTTATTACTTATTTAATACTTACTCGTCGGTAAAAACGTTCTCGAGCATTTTTTGAAGACTTGTTTAAAGAAAAAGAAGAAAAAAATAAAAAAAAATAAAAATCCATGTTTAAAATAAAAAAAAAACAGCTGCGCCCCGCCAATTGATGACGTGTTAGTGTATTTCTTAAACAAAAGTCACTTTTTCTGTAAGATATTAAAAAAAAAGTCTGGACTTTGTTTGCAGGTCCAATTTACAAAAGAATAAATTTAAAAAAATGTATATGATCATTGTTTCATCGCCCACCTAGACATTCAAGAATTCCCTTTTTGATGTCGTAACGATTCAAACAGATTTCGCCTTCACCAAAAGCCAATTGAGAGAATTGTTGTTCATTGCTCTTTCATCTCTCAAAAACGTGTAATGAGAATAATTTTTTACCTAAATAAGAATGCGGCCCGGCCGTCTTAAGTAATTTTTAGACCTTCGCTTCGCTACGTTAAAAATAATTTACGTTCCTGTTCGGGTGATCCCGCGCCTGCGGCGAGGCACGGACACAACTAAATGCTTATAAATGGGATAAAAATTGATTTTATTGATAATAATTACTTTATGCTTAATTTTGTGTCCTAGTTATGACTTGGTTAAATACATCGTTCTCTGCGAGTGTTGATAAAGGCGGCTCATTCAGTAATATTATCTTAAGACCAACAGAATCACGAACCCGATAAAAAACAACATGAAATTGACCGTTCGTAAAAACGGGTATAAGGAGACAAATAGCAGTGAAGAAAAGAGTTTGACATTGCCTTTTGTTGATGTGAATTTCAAATACAAATCGGACAGAAATTGACGCCGAAGGAGGGTAAATAGTACGTTCGCATTACCTGAAGATATTCATATGCTGGGAATCAAAACAATTCGATCTGCTCTATCACCAGCAGCTATCTCAGCTTCTACAAAAGCTTTTGTTAATTTTCTACAAATTAATCTTGTACCATTATAGACCTTCTGCAGGGTGGATGGTGTGATAGTTGAAGATAAAAAAGGGAAATGTAAATTGGAAAATAAAGTAGGTAGAGAAATGAGACTCTACAGTCCTTTATTACAAGTTCGACAGCTTGTCATGATAAAAATAGAGGTCCTTTTTATATTCAATTTTTACTTCGAGATTTTTTCTGCGCAGATCGAATTGACTAGTTTCTTGCAAACTGTGAAATAGTAGAATTAGATTTAGAAATCACTTATGTATGAGATATAGCTTATTGTTTTATAGAAGGAACTAGTTGACTCATATCTGTCACTTCTAGAGCATTATAGTTTATTTGTGGAATGACAAGCTCATTGAGAAATTTGGGAATGATAATAGCGAATTAAGAATAATATGGGAAATTTAACAAAGTGAAATTATCAAACTGCAAAAATAAACTAAGGCTTTATTAAACAAATAAAAGGACGTCTGTATATACACATTATTTCAGCCATTGATCACAGATGGGCTGATGACAGTCGTTGGTAGATTCATCCAGATAATACGCGGATGTAATGATCCCATATAGAAAGGCCATAATGAGATGTCAATAACAATAACAATAACATTCATTCTTAAACTGTGTTTGTCTTGTAGCACAATATTCAGGGGAAAATATAGTTCTTAATGCAGATAGCTGTCGGACCCCAATGTGGCTGATGTAACCTTCATATTTTTTATATTATGTTTTTATTTAAATGTAAGCCTTATACTTTATGAAGGATGATATGAGATCAAGCCTGTACGTAAAGTAAATGATCACTATCTAATATAAAGTATCAATAAGAATTATATTTAGGATTATCAAATGGAAGATTTAAGAAGTGTAGATAGAGTCATATATTAATTACATAACCTCGATCACGACAGTCATTCGTTGGATTACTAAAATAAATTAATGAGAAACTAGAAGTTTCGGCAGCTACTCGACCAATCTAGAAACGATTATGAAATCAGATCTCAGTTTAAAATATGAGGGATCTAGTACAGCGTCGTACCAGTAGGAATTTATTCTCATTATAGTACTTATAACACATAGGTTATATACATTAAAATTGAGTGACAAGATAAATGTAATTGTATTCAGGAAACTAGGTGTCAAATTCGACAGATTGCATTCACTACGTATGGAAAAACTCCCCAACAGCATATCATGGGCAGTATACTGGCAAAGACAAGACGCCAACCATTATTTTTGACGATGTGGCATCTTACGATTTGTAATTCTGGCATGCCAATTTTGTTTTGGCTGGGTCGCTGAAGGATATCAATGTTCACAATAGATCGGAAATTTTTGATGGGTATATTAAAGGAAGCTGTGCCGATGTCAAGCTCAACATTGGTGACGAAAAATTCAATTCGGGACATTATCTTGGTGACAAGATATACCCTAATTATGCGAATATTGTGAAAGCGTATTCCATCCCTAGACCTGGTGCCGAAGCTGTAACTATTGCTTCTACAAGCAATACTTGGTATTTGGGATATTAACCGACTCTTTCTCTTAAATAGAACTTTGCCAAAGCACAAGAAGCATGTCGAAAGGATATGGAGAGTGCGTTGTGTGTTGCAGGCTTGGTTTGACATTATCAGTAATCCTACAAGACTATAGAAAATAATAACCTTGATACGATCATGAATGCGTGTATCATCATGCACAACATGATTGCTGAGGTTGAGCGCGACGAAAGCGATATGGGATTCAGCAGATTCCACAGATCTCATTCTGCTAATCCTGCTAAGGTTGCTGACATTTCTCGTGATCTTTCACATTTTAGCTTCCGGAACTTCTTGAAACGTCATGGTCATATCATAGACTAATCTGAGCACTGCAGATTAAAAGCTGCGTTGGTGTCGCATATTTGGCACATAGAAGGATTTGAAAGCTCCTCAAACTAAAATTAAAATTCACATTATAAAGTTATTAAAATCGATTAAAAATAAACTAGAAAGATTTATGATTCCCTGGCAAGTATTGCTTTTCTTGATCGCCCTCGAAATCGCTCTAAGGCTTTCTCACGATTAAGCTTATAATAAAGCAATGCCGTCTCGTCATCCTCAAAATTCTTTAAGTTAATCTTGAACAAGGTATAATCTCGTTCTCGTTCACGCTGTTAGCGATTTTTTTCCATGTGACAAAGTTCAATCTCACTGGTATAATCCATCTTTTAAAGGACCTTCGTAACGTTCTGGGCTCCTTAGAATTGGAGTTTGTCCAAACCATCCAAAAGCCCTTGGTACTTCCTGTCCAAATGGGCATTTTTCTTGCTCTTTTTACGTCATATAGGAAGCACTGCAACCGATTCGTCACTGATGGCATCCTCATAGTCATTGACTGCTGCCGAACTACCAGCATCAGTATCAGTATGGCTACCTGGAGCTGAAGAGGTATCCACTTTACTATTCATGACCTTTTCCCTCCTTGCCTCAATTTTGCCATCTCTGCGCTTAAACTGATTTTACACTTAAAGGGGATCATTACTTTCCTGAAAGCAAGTGAAGTATTTAAATAAAAATTGATACTTTTGCTCAAAAAGCTTGAAGCTATTACGTACCTATTTAAAGAAATTTCTGCTCTAGATCCTGATATTTTAGGACAAATCTAATCATAATTTTTACCTCCTCGGAGGCTACTTTACCACTTGCATTACGTCGTTTAATTGCAAGCGTCAATACCACAAAACCTGTTGACCAAAGCAGAAACAACTCTCGAGTGGTCTTTCAAACCTTTTCCGTTCTTTCTGGACAGGCTTGTTCGCCGGAAGCCTTAAAGTTGGAAAGGATACACTTCCAAAAAAAACAGATGATTTTACCAAATATCCTGCTAAAGGACCTTTCCAGACGACCAGCCACAACTTAAATATATGGAGGTCTAGAGCAGTTGTCCAAGCATGAGGCCAGTTAGACGCAATAGCAATAGCTTCGCTTAAATACTCGAAATCACTCCCATCGCTGTCGTTGTCACAGGTGTAGTCCATAACGTTGGTGTTGTCATCATCATTGACCAACTCCTTATCATCAACATTGAAGTTGTAAAGAACAACGTCCAACTTAGGTTGGTCGTTGTCCGAGTCGTACATATTGTACGTTTCCTTGAAAGAGGAAAAGGGTTAATTTTTTTAAAAAGAGATAATGGTTTATTGTCAAAGACGGATTTTTTTTTACTTTAAAAAATCTCTTCCTTTAGCGAAATTTTAACGTTTTTTTTAAAAGTTTCAGTTTGATAAAAGAACCTTAAGCCCACTGCTGGAGGTAAAAAAACTAATATTATGGGCTTTTGTAACCGAAAAATTCTTTTTAAGCGTCACCGCTGGGGATGCTGTTACAGCCGCTCCCTGCGCTTTGCTTGGCCCCGCGAAAAAAAAAAATTAAAAGCAATCCGAATCACTAAATACGATATATACTGCAAAGTCAAAACAATCATTATAATATTGATAAATGCATCAACAGTAGTGACCGCGATAAATTGGTACAAACTCTTCAAAATTTGCTGAAATGAAGTACATTTGGTATAGAAAAATAAATACATGCCGATTAAGACCACCTGTCAGGGGCGGACAAGACAGACAGAAGAATACTTGTTTACAAGAACAAAGAAATAAAACATAGTTATTATATTTATTATAAGAGAGAGAGAGAGAGAGAAAAGAAAAGAGGAGAGAGGGTGGTTAGATAATATATCTGATGAAGGGGAAGAAAGAAGAGGGAAAGTTAGGCTATATTTATAGTAAAGGATTGTGTAGATATTTAGCATAGAAATAAGCAATGACAAAGTTTAGTAAGTCATTACTTATTTATGACACATATTCGATGATTGATGGCTGACACGTAGATGACAAGGTGCTGACAAAGAATTACCAAAATTAATGCATCTACGTGACACGATCATGACACCACTAATAAAAATTATTTTTAACTTCTATTTTTTCTTCTTACATAATAGGTTGACTCTCCGTGTTTGACGTTTGTTTGATACAAATTCGCTATTTTGGTCGCTTAAAAATTGGTGGCACGTTAGGGAAAGCTATTTTTATTTATTTTAGAT